GCGTGTGCATGCATGCCCAAAATCTGAAGAGGAGAACAGAGGAGAAGGAAATGTGGCGTGGTCATCTCTCCTTAGGGGTGATCTCTCTTTTTCTGCCTTTCTATCTCTCAGGTGAGTGCACATGCTCTATAGCAAAAAATCTCTAAGGAAAAAAAGGAGTTGTTTGAGGGGGGATAGCAGTGGTATAGTTCTTTGGGTTACTGGACTCTCACATAGCTGACTATAGTTCAAGTCCTAGATTCAGTGGCTTGAAATGCACACTGGGCATGTGTGTGTATGTGTGCCCCAAATCCTGAGAGGTGTATGGGGGAGAAGGGATTGCAATGTGGCCATCCCCTCTGGGAGGTGATTTCTCACTTTCTCTCTCTCTGTCTTTCTGTCCAAATAAAAAAAAAAAAAAAAAAAAAAAAAAAAAAAGCTTTAAAAAAGCCTTTTTAATAAAAAAAAGAATGATTTGAAGTACAAAAGTGGAAACAATAGGTGCCTAGCTCAAGAAGTTTAATTTTGATGACACAGGGTCTCTTCAGCCAGTCTCTTATTTTTCTTTATAGAAACTGAGCATCCTGAGATTCAGCTAGGTATGACACTACCCAAGGAATGACCTTATTCTTGGCTTCTTTTCTCCTAAGTGTGTCTCTTCTTCCTTAATGATAAAATGCTTTTCCTGCACTTTCTTCTCCTGCTGATGAGACTATGACTACATCTGCCTTTGACTCAGAAATGGTAGCCACATGTTGAGAATGGCAGAGCTAAGCCCTTGCAGCATCCTGGATGACCTTGTGAAATAGAGATGTCTACACTAGACTGTCCACCACTTTTGTCCTATTATGAGAATGTACTTCTATCTTATCTAAGTCACTGCTGTAGCAGTTCAGCCTGGGCAATGATACAGTAAGAATGGCAAGATGAGACATATGGCAGTACCTAGAGAGAGATGAAAGAACAGGGACAGAAATTTTTAAATAATGAAGATAATACAGCTTGTTTAAATATTGATGGAAATAATTTATAAAAGAAGGAAAGGTTGAAGAGGTGGTAATCAGAGGTTAAATAAAAGAAATAAGGTCCCTAAGAAAACAGGAGAGGACATCGGGCCAGTAGGTGGTGTAGTGCTTAAGGTGCTGGACTCCCACATGGCTGACAGCAGTACAATCCCAAACCATGTGGCCTGAAACTCACATAGAGCACATATGTGTGCATGCCCAAAATCCTGAGAGGAGAATGGAGGAGAAGGAATTGTCGCATGGCCATCCCTCCTGGGGGTATGATTTCTTACTTTCTGTCTCTCTGTCTCTTCAGTGAGCACAAGTGCCCTATAGCAAAAATCTCTTAAAAAAAAAAAAAAAGGACCGGCAGGTGGCATGGAGGTTGAGGAACTGGACTCCCACACGGTATACCATGGTTCAAGTCCTGGACCTGGTAGCTTGCTTTCTCACTTTCCCTCTCTCTCTGGTCAAATTGAAAAATTATAATAATAAATAAAATAAAATAAAAAATTCTTAAAAAAAAGAAAATAGGAGAGGACAGAACACAGAGATGTGTAGAAGAAATGGCCTTTGATAGAAAGCCTTTTGTACTATTATAGGAAGAAGAGAAGAAAATGGATAAAGATGTAGATAGATTTATGGAAGTCATGCTAAAAGAGCAGAGAGTTCCTATTTTATTTACAAAGCATAAAGCATTTTATGAGAATAGAGCAAGGAAAAATTGACAGAGGTTTTGGTACAGTGAGATGGTATGAAACATTCATTATGGAGAAATGTGGCTTGATGAGCAGTAAGTGCTGAGTGCCTATTTGAAGTGGATAATCATAAATTCAAGATGCTACCCATCTTTTTGCTGGGTTAAAATGCTTAAGTGTTGCCATGCATAGATAATGTCCATCCAAAACTGAGGCTGCAACAGCTAGGTACAATGTAGGGCAAAGGAAAAAGAACTTTGCCAAGAGAGAGATTTCTAATGATAAACCATGCAGTTGGGGCCAAATAGGAAGGAAGGTAAAGAGAAAAAGAAACTGGTGGAACTGATGGTGGAAACTAGAGAAGATAATGAACTGGAGGTCTCAGTGAGAATGAAAAACTTGTTTCCCAACCAGAATACACATGGAACTCAAGAGGCTTACTCAGAAGAAAATAATTAAACCAATTAAAAGATGGGAAAATGAGCTGAACAAATAACTCTCTAAGGAAGACATACGAACAGTCAAAAAGTGTATGAAAAAATGCTCAGCATCCCTCATCATAAGGGAGATGCAGATCAAAATCACAGTGAGACCCCACCTAACCACAGTCAGAATGGCAAAAGTTAAAAATAACAGAAAATGTTAAGTGCTGGTGGGGATGTGGTGATAGGGGAATTCTCCTACACAGCTGGTGGCAATGTAAATTGGTTCGGCCATTGTGGAGAACAATATGGGGGGGGTTCCTCAAAGACCTTCAAATAGAACTACCATATGATCCAGCAATTCCACTCCTAGGTATCTACCCAAAGGACAGGAGAACACTCAGTCGGAAAAGTGCTTCCACAACTATATTTATTGTGGCATTATTCATGATTGCTAAGTCAGGGAACCAACCCAAATGTCCACAAAGAGATGGATTGAAAAAGTATGGCACATATACTCCATGAAATACTATTCGGTCATAAAAAACAACAAGGCCCTGGCATTTGATAGAAAGTGGGTGAATATGGAAGCTTTATTGATGAGTAAAGCAAGTCAGGCTATAAAAGAGAGATATTGTATGTCTCCACTTAACAATTACTGACTGCAGAGTGCAGACACTGAAAGACTGGAGGACATAAAAGCATTGAAAATTGTTATGGACACTAGAGACAAGGTGGAAGAAGAGTGTGAGAGGGGAAGAGCATAGGAAAGGAAATTTGGGGAAAAACATAGGTAAGACATTTGCAGGACACAGATATGGTTTATTACCTGTGATAATGATGTATATTAACTGGGCTGGACTGAGGTGTATATCACGCTGGGTAAAGTCTCTTTACAATCTAAATTATGTATAGTGACTGAATGTATAAATAATAATAACAAATAAAATAACAGAAAAAACTTGTTTATCATTAGTAAGTAAGCTGGAAACAAAAAGATGTTAGTTGAAATATGAAACTTTGGAATAAGTAATTTGGAGATAGTAAAAGATGTAAGATCCTAGGGAGGAACTGTGAATGTAGGGCAATGTCTCTGACAGATGAAGAGAAATCTCCATATATTCCTGGTAAAAGAGTTTTGTTTTGAGAGTTGAGTAGGAGTCTATTTAGCTGAATATTAGGTAAGGGGATAGTAGATAGAAAGAGCAGAGGGAATAGACTGTACAGGGGAAAGTATGAGTACATTCATGGTGCACTGAGAAATTAGTTTTGGTCTAGACAGAGATTCGAGTAGATGGGTAGAAGTTCCTAGAGAAAATATCAACATATGATGAAAACAAATTCTGAAGAAACAGGTATGAATGTCCAAGTAGTTTGGACTTTATTTTGTAGCCCAAGTAGTCATTCATGATATCACCAGACATTGTGTATATAAATATGACAAATAAAAAAAATTATATTATTTATTCTTTTTAGGAATTGTGAATATGTGGATCTCTGGTTTTTTTTTAAATTAAATTAAATTTATTTTATTTTAATTTGACCAGAGAGAGTGACACAGAGAGGGAGAGAAAGAGAGAAAGTGAGAAAGCAAGCTGCCAGGTCTGGAACTTGAACTGTGGTCAGCCATGTGGGAGTGTCCAGCACCTTAACCACACGCCACCTGCTGGTCCCAGGATCTCTGGTTTTTACAATTCTGGAAAATTCTTAGCCATTGTCATTAAATAGGGCCCCTCCTCTATTAACTTTGCTATCTCCTTCTAGAACTTCATTAGAGCTGTATATATAATTTATAGATGGAGAGCATTGAGTTTTAAATAATTAAGAATTAAATTATTTGTAGGGACCAGCAGTTAGCATATTGGCTATGTTGCTGGACTCCCATATAGTCGACTGTGGTTCATGTCCCAGACCCGGTGGCTTAAACTCATGCCGGGCACATGTGCGTACGTACCCAAGATCCTGGGAGGAGAAGGGATTACAGCAAGGGGGGAAAAGGGTTTCCAGAAGGGCCACCCCCCGGGGGGGGGGGGGTGATTTCTCGCTTCTGTCTCTCTGTCTCTCTATGTCTTTCTGGCGAGCACATGCACCGTATAGTAAAAACCTCTCTAAAAAAAAAATTAAATTATTTGTAAATTTAGTACTGAGTTTATATTTAAAAGTCACAGCCATTGTCACATTCTCATGTGCTTTTGCAAAGATGAATTAATTCCCTTAGCACTTTAGAGTATATATCTAGATTCAGTGCAAATATATAGAAGTTTTTCAAGTACTTTTCACTTAATTCAAATATATACTTAAAACTTTATTATTCATAATAAAACATATGTTTGTACATGTGAGAATGAGTAAGAGAGAGGGAAGAGGAATATTCTTCATAGGGTCTGGTCACACGGTGACCCCTTTTCCCTAGTCTTCTAGCCCAGGGGCTCTTAGGCATCTGCATGTGTGCCCAGAGTATTTCAGGCTAAGCAGGCCAGGGATTCAAACTTCAACTGTCATGTAAAATCTAGCTTCTTTCGAGCGGCACATTATTGCTACCCCACAGAGCTAGCCTATAATCTGTATTTTTTAAAAAGAATTATTTATTTAATTCCATTTGGTATTATTATTATTATTATTTTTAATTTTACCAGACAGAGACAGAGAGAGAGAGAAAGGGAAAATGAACAAGCAATCTACCAGGTTCAGGACTCGAAACACATTCGGCCATGTGGGAATCCAGTGCCCTTAACCAACATGCCGCCTGTTGGCCCTCTATAATCTTCTCAGAACTTAATCTCTTTCTTGTCCACATCTTGGAATAAAGTTTAAATGATGATATATTTCCACTTCAACAAACTTCCTTAGGATACAGAGTTATTTGTAAAGTTGGTATATTTAAGGGGAATACTTACCTGTGATGAGCCTCTGGAGAACACCCTTATCTCCATTGACAGCAGCCGCATGAACTTGTGATGCTAATGAGGAGCCAGTAAAGGGCACATTCTCTGACCTGTTCATAATCTTCTCAACAACTGGAGCAACCTGACATAATGATTCAGACAATGAGCATCGATAGGAAACATTTCTGAAACCTGTCTCATCAGTTCCAAGTATTATAAATACGGCTTACTAGAAATAGTTGACTATGATTCCAAAAATCAACTCTCCTAGTCCTAGAATTGCTATAATGTGGCAAACGAGGTGACTTTGTACATAGCTGCCCATTTGCAAAATGAGAGGGTTAGGTGCTTTTAAGACCCTCCTCAGGTACTATGAGAGGGGGGAAAAAAGGGTCAATATTTAACATTAGCACAAGGCTCAAAAGTTACATTGACTCCTAAGTTAATATAGGCAATAAAAACCCCTGTAATAATAAACATTAGAGGTAATACTGGGAATAAATGTAAACTTAATTGTCAAGTCAGAATTAGACTTGAGTGCTAACCCAAAAGGTACTTAGTTTTTTCCCTCATGCCCACAAAAGGTGAAAATTTTATTTGTTCTGTCATGGGCCTATCAAGGAGATATATTTATCTTGAGTTATTTTTTTTAATCTTGAGATCTTGACCTTAGCTTCTTACTTGGAACATCATGAGGATTAACCATATTTCATTAAGGAAAATTTCATCAGACTGGCAGTCTCAGGTGGTTTGTGGCAGTTTTCTAGAAATGCATCAGCTACATAAGAAAATGTTTACTCTCCAGTGTTTAAGCAGAGGCTGGACTAACAGGAATGCAGCAAGAAGAATTGAAGCATCTGATGAGAAAGAAAGAAAGAGGGGAAGTTGCATCAATGACCTCAAACATCCTTCCTAAACTTAAATTGTTCTATCAAAGTTCCAAAGTTAAACACCTTTAAGGACCACAGAGATAAAAAAAAAAAAAAAAAGGTCTGAGGGACCAGCAAATGGCATAATGGTTACATCACTGAACTCCCATGTAGTTGACCATGGTTTGAATTCTGGACTCGGTGACTTAAAACTCACGCTGGACGTGTATTGTGTATGCGAGCATGCCCAGGATCCTGAGAGAAGAGAGGAAAAGAACAAGAAGAAAGTGGAGGAGAAGGAACTATGGTGTGGCCATCCCCTCAGGAGGTGATTTCTCACTTTCTATCTCTCTGTCTCTCCAGCAAGTACATATACCCTATAGCAAAAATCTCTCTCTAAAAAAAAACCAAAACCAAAACCAAAAACAAAACAAACAAAAAAAACCAATAAATGGTTGTGATATGTGAGGAGTCATGGGAGATCAAAACAAACTGGAGCATACATACTTATCTAAAGGGAACAGCTGTTAATCAGTTCCAATTAATTGCCATATGAGGGTAGGCAAGACCCATTCTGATTTCACCAAGAAGCATGTCACTCCAATCTCTGTGACTTCCAATGATATGGGAGTTTTGTAAGATAAATTTATCACAACTGATGAGCTACTACTTGTGTTGTCATTGACAAGCATTATTGGTTTAAATTCTGCCTTAGAGAAAAGATATTTTCTTAATTATGGTAAAGGTCAGCTCTTCATGTCTTTATTTTGCTGACAATTTGAGTTAACATGCTGGCAGAAAATACAGAGAAAAGGGTATTGTAAGACATTTCTGTCATCTCTGGGCATGTCTGTCATTATCAGAAAAACCACTGTCATATGCAGGATTATATTAAAATCACTTGAGAGAAGTTACAAAAGGTGGGGGTGGAAACACAGTAGAGGAGTAATTGGACTTGGGTTCTAGGCCCTGTTGTGTTAATATTAAGCAGTGTGTCATTAGGCTACCTTAGCTTTCTGGTTTTCTATAAAATATGAAAAATGAAAAGGGTGGATCACATTCATACATTCAACTAGTTGAATGTCAGCCATGTGCCAGGCACTGTTCTGAACTCTAAGACCTGTCATTTCAGGAACTAAGTGATTCGAGTTATAGACACATCAGAATCACAAAAAAATTCTTTATACCTTTTGAAAAATACACTAAAAATTAAATCTGTTATATACATTTTCTTTCACTTCCTAATTCTTAGCATTTAAAAGTGTAACAGTTACAGCTGGTGCTCAGTAAATGTTGAACAGAAAGTTCATAGGCTGAGAGCTAAGTTCAAAGACTGAGTAGGATCAAAGTTTAATTTCTTAGACTAATGAGTTCATGCTCACAAATCTCTGCTTCTTTTTTTTAAGTTTATTCATTCTATTCATGATAGTATAAGAGATAGCAAGAGAGAGGAACATTCTCCATATGATCACTTTATAATCTGCTTCCCCCAGTTCCCCAGCTTCTCCGGGTCTTTGGTGTTGGCACAGCTGCTTCAGATGGACCAGACAAGGGATCCAAACCATAGTGGGCCAATGTGGCTTCTGGCACTGCAGTTCAGTTAGCTACTGACTCTCCAAGTGAGGCTAAGTCCCTGCTCTTTTCTATTTTCCCATTTCAACTATATTTAGGCTCTGTCAGAGGTTGATGAGAGTTACAGAGATCAAAGCACTGTACTAGGAATCAGGAAACCAAAGAGTATTGGATCTGCCACTAATTTTGTCACTCTGGGAAAGCTATACTCTAGAGATACATTAGCACAATTTTTTTCAGTACTAATATTTTGTAAATCATATTTTACATATGAAAACCAAAACCAATTTGTTAAAGTGCTATAAAATGCAATAATGTATTATCATCATTAACTAATTGTGAAATGATTCAGTGTAATAAATTTGCTAATAATTATAACCGTACAAAACTATTGGTGCTATAGTCACATGCAAAGGAAGAGTAATTCTGATTAGGACTTAAGGATTCGTCATTGGTAAACTTCTCAGAAACGGTGACGACTGAGACGGCATTCCAGAAAGAGAAGTGGGTAAGGCCATTCCGGGCAGCAGGAAAGCTGGAGCAAAGGCAGGGAGTAGGGAGAACCACAGAGAAGCACAGTACGTCCCTCTTGGGTACTTAGTAGTGGCTGTGTAGTTATCCTTTGGGGTGTATGGGCCAGGCTGGGCGTTTGTAGAAGAGATGCAGGGGAGCTACCTGGGGTCAGGTTAAGATCTTTGACTGCTGGGACCAGCAGTTAGTGTAATGGCTATGTCGCTGGATTCCACGTAGTTGACCGTGGTTCGAGTCTGGCTTGAAACTCACGCTGGGCACGTGGGCGTATGAGCCCAAGATCCCAAGAGAAGAATGGAGGAGAAGAGATTGTGGCGTGGCCATCCCCCCTGGGGAGTGATTTCTCGCTTTCTGTCTCTGTCTCTGTCTGTCTGGATAGCGCACACGCCCTATAGCAAAAACCTCTCAAAAAAAAAAAAAATCTTTGCTTGGCTAAGGAAAGTTCTAACTATCCTATAGGAGTGATTCATGCATTAAAGGCAATCACTCCCTTAAGGAGCTTTTCAGTTTACAAGGTGTCTGCCCATCCCTTACCCTATATACCCTTGCAGGAGCCCTCAGAGACAATTGGGGATAAGTCACTGACTCACTGAACTGAGGCCCTGAGAGGTGGCTCTCACTTTATAGTGCAGGAATTGGCGCAGAAAGAAGAGACAGCAGGCGAGGAGGCCAGTGACGGAGGCTCAGGCCACAGCCCGGGCCAGGCAAGTTTTGAATCTGCTGCAGGGGCCAGGGCGGTGCAGACCGCTTGGTCCGAGCCTCGCAGCCAGGCCCCCTCCTACTCACCCTCGCCTCCTCCAGGACTGATGTCCCCGGGGCGGCTCCAGGAGGCACTCCCTCACTGGGCCGCCCCTCCCGCCTAGCCGGGACAATACATCTAGCAGGAGCTGACCCCCACAGAGCCGAAGCTAGCAGAACCCCTCAGAAGGCCGCTGAGGAGCTTGACCGCACAGCCTTCTGGGAGTTGTAGTCCCGTATCCCGCAACACAGAGGCACACTCGCTAGAGCCTCTTTTATCCCACAGGGCCTTGCGCGCGGAGGACTCAGTGTGCCAGAGCCGAGAGCCTACCGGGAAAGGGAGTTCTAGATGTCCGATGACGTACTCGGGGAGAGTGATGTAGAACTACATTTCCCGACGTGCTCCGAGGCGGGCAGGACCCGGAAGTAGGGGTGCGAGGCCTCTCTGGAAGTTGTCCCGGGTGTTCGCCACTGGCGCTCCGGGTCGAGAGGACGAGGTGCCGCTGCCGCCGGCTCCCGGAGCCCAGCCCTTTCCTAACCCAACCCAACCTAACCCAGTCCCAGCCGCCAACGCCTGTCTTTGCCGCGCGCCCCAGCGTTACCATGAATCCTGCCGTCTTCCTGTCCTTACCCAACCTCAGATGCTTCGTGCTGTTCCTGGTGAGTGAGGGAATGACAGACCCTTCGACAGACGCACCGACGGCCTCCGGTTTTCGCCGAGGGGAAACACTGTTACCCCGGCCCCTGCTTTCCTATCTTTTCCTGTGTTGGCAAGGAGTGCACACTCCTTGCTGCCTTCATGCTTTCTTTCTACCCGACTGTACGCTCCCCAGGCCCGGGTCCCCTAGGCCTGAGAAACCGTGGACAGGGGTAGACCTGAAAATGGGGAAATTAGCCTTGGAAGAGTGATACGTGGAGAGTCACAGCGGAGGTGCTCCACCTTCTCCCCGGACTATGGGTCGTTTCAGTTTCGAGGGCTTGTGGACCTGGTGGTGGTCTGATTTGGAAAGGACCGAAGGTAGATCTAGTTTTATCCCACTCACTCCCTTTGGGAAGGAGGAGGCGGACAGGTGCTGGGGCTCTGCGAATCTCACTCTGGGGCCCTGAACCTGTGCCCTGGCTGGTAGAGTCCTCTGTTGTGGCTTGATACGATTGGTTAGGAACCCGGAACTGAAGATTGTTTGGTGTCCACTGGGGAATGAGGATTTGAAGGGAGAGGGTGTGTGTTTACCTGACAACCTCAGCTCAGGGTTTTCCTCAAACATTTTTACAACCTACCTATCCACCAACATTGAACCACATTTCTTCTTCGGTGCTTTTGATTCGAGAATAACCAGGTCTTTTGCATACATGTGCAGTCATACCTTAACTCCCTAACCTCAGCTGCATCCCATCTTAGAATCTTAACCCCTCTTGAACGTACTACCCAGGTGAACCAGGCTTCAGATCAAATTGAAACAAATGAACTAACTTCATATGGCAAAATGAATATATTTAATTTGGTTTTTATCTAACACAATATTTTTAAATACTAGTAGAGTTTTAGAAAGCCAAATCTAAGATGAACACTATTAAGTAAAAATCACTGCAATTTAAGACACGTAATTATTAGCCACAAGAAGTTACATAGTAGGTTAGGGACAGAACTGGGAGTAGAAACAGGTTTCTTGAGGAGCAGTGCTTATTTCACCATTTCACATTAAATTTTTAATATTTGTGCATGAAATAGTTCCCCCTCTTTCTTTTTCTCTTCGACCTGGAAGTCGTATTTAAAACCACATAATAACAGTTTAATATTTTCAGGTAAATCACTATGAATCGCTAAATAGACTGTCAAAGTACTTTTGAAAACAAAAGCTTTATATAAACAGGGTAATATAAATAATATAATCTTACCACTTCTAAGTATACAACAGTGAATAACTTTTATATAAAAAAAGTGACTTCTGTATAATGCTATTTCTTGGAGATTTCATTATACTACATAACTATTTTTTTCCTTCAAGAAGTTTTAGATTATTAGCACTCTCTTCTTAAGGACACTAGATACTAATCTTTTACTTATTTATAAAATGATTTGAATGATGAGTTATGTGCTAGGAATTATTTTTAGGTTATCAAAAAGTACAAAAGGCAAAAATATTAAGACATTGGAAAGAAAAAAACGATACATTGGCTAGGAAAACTGCTCAAAGAACTTCGCTCTGGCTGTTAGTTTAAGAAGAATATATTTTGAGAAAACTTATGCTTTCTGTAGAAAACCTAATTCTTTTAAATATGTAATTTTTTTCCCAAATGAAGTCTAGATTTAACTAAAATCTGGGTAACATTCTGTATGGTTATCTTTCTAAGCAAATGTGGAGGAATAGAAACCTCGGCATTTTAGACAATACCTGCGAAGATTAATGGGCTAGAAAATAAAGCCCCAGAAAAAGTTTAATAAACCAGAATTACAAGTCTAGCTAGATTCACTTTGAACACAGTATTTACTTACTTTCAATAACCATATTCTAGTCAGCAAATACTTATAAAACGTCTGTCCATCTATCATAACTTTTAATTGCTTACCTGATTAGTAATTCTGTCCTAATGATGGAACCTGCTTATGCAGTATCCCATCTAATACTTTGTCCTCTACATCCCCTATGTATTTTCTTTTTTCCTCCAACTTCCCTTCTCAGACTTCAAATTCATTCATTTGCACAGCCACAGAAACCTCAGTTCACACTGAGCTGAGGTCATCATTTTTTCCTTAAATGACCTGCTCTTAAATAGCTTTATATTCTCTTAGTGTAATTTTTTTTTTTCAGGCACTCTACTTTAGCACTAAAGATCTATACCTATTCAAAATTAATGATGTTCATAAAATAAGAGCTTAAACATAATCCTAAACTTCTGGAGCCATTTTTTTCTCATCTCAAAAGCACTTTGGAACATATTCTATACCTAAAGAGCCTTTCTGCGTAGATAACTGAACACAGATGCTCAATGTGTTAACTTTTTCCCTAAGTTTTAATATATATATGTTATATATATATATATGTATATATA